TATTGCACTGATGTCAGTCCTTACCTGAGGAGGATTGCTCTCTGTGGAGAACATGCTGGAAAGGCGCTGCTGTTTGACAAGGTGAATGTCTAAACTGCAAAACCTGAAAATGCTTCTCCAATATAGCTGTCTGCCCTGGACATACCCTGACTCCATATGAAGGAGTCTCAGGATCAGCAGGAGCCATTCTGTGCCTTGGTCAGGGCTGGTATTGGTAGAAGAGGTGTTTGCTTTGCAAATCAAGTGCTCCACTTGCCATAGAAAACCGCATCATATAATCTCACCTAGAATGTGGTGGTAACTGAATGCTTATGTTAGCTCAGAAATAGTGGAACGTTAGAAAAAACAACCAGGAAGAGCAACTAATAGGTGAAGATAAATGTCTACCAACCCAGGAAAGGCAGGGCTGAGCCACTGACTATAACAAGTCTTGCTTGTAGACAAAACCTGCTTTGCTGCATTATAAAAGCTCGAGCCTACAGTTGTTAGTTAAAAATTATCATGCTAGGAGAGGTGAGTGGGCAGTTTGGTTATCAGAAGTGGACTAGACAGACCTCTGAGAGAGAATGGGCCTGCAGGAGTGTCTTCCTAGGTTGGGCCATGCAGGTTATTTCTGAGGTGGAAAGGGAGCTTCATGCTGAACAGTATGATGGAAATCTCACACGGAGATCTGTGTTCCTGTAGCTCAGTCAAAAGTGCTATTTGCTGCTGGCAAAGGCAGCTTAGGTGCTCCAAGTTAAATGGTGGTCACCTGAGAAGAGCACAAGTGCAATCATGCCTGTGGCTCAGTTGTCAAAGGTACACATTTTCTGAATAGTTTTGATCAGGTGTGCACTGCCCTTGACTAACAACCAAAGAGCTGCCCTGATAACACTCATGGTGTAAAAGCTTGCCTGGGGAATGTATGATATGTTTTCATTCAGTGTTTTTTCAAAGCCGTAACATTGAAACCATGGTAAGTAAACAGCAGTGCTGCTGCCAAGGTGGGTTCACGTGGCCCTGACCACATCATAACAGCACGGGAAGCACACAGATAGTTGGGCAGATGAATGAT